GGTTGTTTGAATATTGTAGTCTCTCTTGATGGTTTTCTTGCACTAATGATGGGTTTTAACTCTGAGCCCCCTTGATTAGGCTCGGCCAAACTGGGCGAACAATTTCATTGTGTTATTCACTTCTTTTGATTGTATGCTTGGTTAATATTTGTTATTAGTTCGCCATTTTGGGTCTAAGTACCCAACATTATTCTTAATTTACTAATTTTACTTCTATTTGTCGAAAAAAAATTATGATTTGTAATTGATGATCTAAATTATATTAACTAACTTAATATATTGAAATGCACACAATAACCGAATTATGTTTTTAAGTATGAAAATGGGATATTAGTTCACACAACTTCATTTATAGATCACATTTAATTCTCTAATCAAGATTCTTAATTTAATGTCGAGTTTGCTCTTCTAACGTATTCAATTTACATTTTTCGAGTTCAAATTAATTCTATTTAAATAAGTCAAATTTATTTATCTATGTAAATTAGGATACATTTTAGTTACACACATTAAATTTTTAAGAATTTAGGTAACAACTGTATTAACTAGAGAATATATCTCTACGATTGATGAAGACCCACAGTTGGAGTAGTGGCGGAATGGGAATGCGAAGCAATGGGTATAGGTCGCCCATGTGGATTCTTTTGACGACTCTTGAATGGATTCAAAATCAAGAAGGAGAATCGAGCCAAACAAACCCAAACGTCACAAAATTATCCTGTCATCGGGACCCACCATGCCATTGACCTTCCCAACCACACCTTAGGTCCCTTCCAATATAGCCCTAATCACATGAGCTTTCTCTCAGTTGTCTTCTCCAGCAAAAACATTATTTTCTATTGATATATATGATTTTTGGAATTGTCCGAACTCCATTGATCCAAAAACAAAGCAAATCGAAAAATTGGGGAAGTGAAATCTCAAAAAAAGATTTCCTGCTTCCACATAGAGGATAGAAAGAAATGGTATAAAGAGTGAGTGTAGAGACGAAATGGTAGAGAGAGAAAGAGTGAGAGATTATTATATAACTTAGTTGTATTATATTAAATATTTATAATTATAATATGATTTATGAAATAATAAAATTATAGTCTGATTATTGAGATTGAAAGTTAAATAACAGATGTAGATGTAATTTTATCTTTCTAGATTCACCACCATCAACCAATTTTTCAATGTAATAGGGTGATTTTAGGTACGATGACTATACTAACTTCGAAAACGAGGGTTTCTATTTCATTTTAATCCCCATAAATCAAACATCTTCCCTTCACAATTTCATTTTTTGTGAAAAGATTTACAGCCCACGGTAAATCATCCATCCAATTATCTGTTCCATAAATCCTATTTGATAATTTCAAAAATTTCTAGTTTTCACTTTTGATTCAAAACAAAGATTCATCGTTTTGCATTGATATTATCTCAATGCAAGAAGCAGGTGGATGGCGTATCAAAATCGAAGATTATGACTTTTGGCTTATAAATCATAACCTGATACTTACATAAACTAGAAAATAAGAAGATAAATGTTTTCTTTCTTTTTGAAAGATTGTTAAATATGAGTAATAGCTAGCACAGCTGCACATGGTAGAAAAGAAATGATTATTTATATTTGATGAGACTTTAGGGTCCGTTTGATTGCACATGTGGAAGATGGATGGAAAGAAAATGTTTTATAGGAAATTGATTTGTGTAGAAATTATTTTATTGAGAATTGTAGTTAATTGTGTTTAATTAGTATAATTTTTCATGAAAAATATTGAAAGTTTGATGTTCGTTTGACTTCTTTTTATGAAAATTGTCCACTAAAGTGATAATTTTTTCTACCATTGGATCTAGAATTTGTTCCAATTGCCAAAAAAAATTGAAAAAAAAATTGTCATATCGAATATTATTCGTTTGGTTTTGATTTGCATGGAAATTGTCAATAAAAGTGATAAATTTTTTACCATTGTATCTAGACTTTTTTCTAATTGTCAAAAAAAAAAAACTGAAATTTTTTTTCCCACCAAAATATCAAGAATTTATTTTCCTCAAAAATATGGAAAATGAGAAAATGTGGAAAAAAAAATTTCGAGNTATTTTCCTCAAAAATATGGAAAATGAGAAAATGTGGAAAAAAAAATTTCGAGAAAATTTTTCCTATTAAACACTACGAAAGTTGGAAAATTGAATTTTCTATGGAAAATATGGCGAATCAAACGGAACCTTAAATTTTCTGGTCAATAAATAATGGTTGGGCGGATATAATATTAAATAAAAAGTGAGAAAAATAGAGATGTCTTTCTTTCGGTGTAAAAATGTAGGTCCCATAGGAAACAAATTTCATCACGTCCCTCACCATTTTGAATACGTCATTAACTTCAATTTAATTTCAAAATTTACCATTAATTCCTTCAAATGTATGAAATTCGCTATATTGGCATTCAGAGATTACATGGCACCCTAGGTAGAAGGGTGGAAACTCTACGAAAGAACGATCTTAAAAATGCGTTGATTCATAAATAATAACACAAATTTAGAAATTTTCCAAATAATACACCCAAAGACTTGGAAATTTCAAATTCAGACATTTTTATCCTAATCAAGCAAATTTATAGCTAAAGTAAAATCCAAATCTTGTATTGCAACATCTTATAAAATGAAAATAGTGAAATGAAGGCTATGACAATATTTATAAATTAAAATGTTGAAATGTTTATTGTTTAATACTTTTATGAAATTCAAGTACGTCTAATGCATACATGAATTAAAAAGACGCTCTTATATATATAGAGAAGAAGAATTAGAATATCTTCTAGTTGACATTTGTGTTCTCTCATTGTACGATTGGCAAATTGCTACTAGTTAAAGTGCATTGTTGTGTCCTGGATATTTCAAGCACTCATGCCATGCTCGAGTATTACAGTTATGCTTTGCTTAGGTCGGTCCGAATGCGTGTATTTGTCAAGGTGAGCGAACTTGTGTAATGTTGAACACGTAGACAGTTGATTTTGAGCGCTTGTGTACAACCTTATGTACTTCATCGATGTAGAATGAGCTGTGGCCTCTCCTGCACAATTGCCCTTAGAACAAGTTAGAAAATAGATGATTTAAAGAAAATTCAGCTCATGCTTGGTGGATAAAAATTAAATTATAGTAGATTTTAAGGGTCTATTTGATACTCTTTAATTTATTTTTTTGATTTACTTCAAAATCATTTTCAACTACACATTCACATAATAAAATATTTTATACGTGCACCAAAAACTTTTATTTACTTTTTAACTACACATCCTCCTAAAAATTACTATTCGAAACTCTTTTTTTTCTATCAAAATGGTTGTCAAACAAACTCTAATAAAAGTTGATAAAATATGTATTCAAAAGTAGATAAATGTAGTGGTGTTCCGTAAAATTAATTAAAAAAAAATGAGTTTCGAGAATTCGGGACATAATATAGACTTAGTAAACACTCCTAGACCCAGACTTAGCACCCTCTTTGATGATCATTACTGTGTAAAAATGATATTTTAAATAGTGATTTTTTAAGAAAATGTATGGTTAAAAAGTAGAGAAATGTTTTGTGTTTAATTGCTAAATATTTTATTATACCTCGTTTGATGGGAATAAAATTAGATTTTTAGCAAATCTTGATAAAAATTGATGAAATGTGTCATGAAAAAGTTGTGAGTAATATAACATGTGTGTGTAAAATTAGTTGTTGATTTTGACTTAAATTAAAATCTGAATTTTAATTTCTATTAAATATGATCTATCTGAATGTATAATTAAAAATAAATATAAAAAATAAATTATTTTTTTTAAAGGGAGACAAACATGAGCTTATGTCAAAATGCGAGATTACAAACTTTTATTTTCGTAGATTTTATCTTATTGAATAAGTAGGTTCAATAAATTTTCACTCATTACAAGCTCAAAATTTTGTTCTAGTGATTGATTGCTTTAATTTTTTTTTCAGGTATTCAATAATTGCGTATATTTTGCAATTAAGCCCCCGTTTGACACCCATTCTCTTCCCATTCTATTTCTCATTTTTTTCACTTTCTTCATTTCAACCACATATTCTATCAATAAAATAATATTACACATAAACCCAAAAATTCTTTTTATTTTTAACCACACATTCTTCCCATCAATCACTATTCCAAAATTTATTCTTTACAAAAATGGGTGTCAAACACACCCTAAAATGAAAGTTTGAAATTTCTTCTGATTACCTTGAAAACATTTACAAAAGTTAATAGCCACGACGAGAAAGTTAATGTCACTTGCTGTCACTCATATGTTCCGAACTGACGACTTCCATTGGCTGTAAATAACACCTCGATATCTCATCTCCAAATTATCACCGTTGATTGAAGATCAATGGGTGCTGGCGTGATACGTGCACGTACACAGCGATCCACAGTTGACTTTTCCCAGTTCGGAAATCCGAAAAACCAGAGGCGCTTTGCTCACATAAACCAGTACAAAAAATCAGACACTCAAAGAACCCACAATTCTTCATCATTGTCATCTAGCACAAAAATTCAAGATTCGATTTTTCACTTTCACTCTCTCCCTATATGTTTTTACAGATCAATGGTAAGTGAATATGTACATGTAAGAATGAATTGTTGGGGTCTGTTTTGAAGTTCGATCTTAGTTGCAATTGAAGTTTCTGCTACTTAATTTCTGGTTTTTTGAGCGTTGAAGTTGGTGAAATTCTGTATTTGAAAGTTTTGGATGGTTAATTGGCGAATTGGTGGGGTGTGAGTGCTGCGAAATTGAGGGTTTTTGATTTTTTGGATCTGGTGTGAACATGGTTTTGAATGTCAACTGTGATTGATTTTGCACTTGGGTTCTGATTGAAGTGATAACCATCTGGGTTTTCAAGTTATATGTTTATTGGGGTTTTTTGAATTTAGTGTTTTTTTTTTAATGTAGGAATAACTTAGGAAAAGAAGAAGGGTTTGGTTATAGTTATAGAATAAAGATTGTTCTAGGAGAGGAAGGAGATGTTTTATTCGCAGTTTATATTGGCAAAAAAGGGGCCGCTGGGGACCATATGGATAGCAGCGCATTTGGAGCGGAAGCTACGCAAGAATCAGGTTGCTGATACAGATATCGGAGTCTCCGTAGGTAAAGTTTTAATTTTTCTCTTTGTAAATGTGGCAAGATAGTTCTCGTATGTTTAATAATGTCATTATTCTTTCTTGAAGTGATACAACCTCATAGTTGCACAAGTGCATATAGATAAATGGACAAAAATTTAATCTGGTTGTGGTAAAAAGAACTGGAGAAAAGAAAAAGAAAATGCAGCTCATGAGTAATGTGAATGAAAAAACGATCAGGTGTCTGTTCTCTGTTCCTTAAAGTATTATGTTTAAGCTATATTTGGTTGATTCAAATTGGTGTTCAGAATCAGTTTCTAAATGAGTATATATAATGAGGTTTAGATAGAAATTTTTGTTCCAAATTCAAGGTTACATTTGCCATGCCACCAAATATCTTGTCTGTTTTGGTAGATTACAATGTGCTATGTCAATATCTCTCTGCTTGACAGTTCTTGCAAAAAGTGTCAGTTTGAATGAGTTCAAGGCACAGCCATTACTCCAGAAGTTTGAAGTTCGATAAATTCAACTTTTGAACACCACGGATTGTTCCTGTTGTGCTGGGGATTAAACAAATTACAAAGCAAAGAAATTAGATGCCCTTAGTTAGTAGTATTATTATTATATTATTTTGGGGTGGTGTGGTTGCAATGATAGGGTGGGGGTCATTTGAATAAGTTACAATATCAGGATTATTCAGGTGAAGTGCAAACCAGAATTAGCTAATTTTTTTGTGGACCTTAGCAATTGTCAATTGTTTCATCCTACTTTTTGCCTATGTCTGTAAACGCCAAATGGTTGGTACTGTCATTCTTCTCGAATGTTCAAATCTTTGGTTTAATTTTTTATTTTTATTTCAGGAAAATGAAAATTGAAAGAAAATAATTTTTGCAGTACAAACTTTACTGGGAACCAACCCCTCATATCAAAATTGTAAATGGAAGAATTATATCTCTTTGACATCTAGGGCACCACACTTCATTTTAACTTCAGGACTGGAATTTGAGTATTTTAATCAAAAAAATAACTGCTGTGTCTTTAAGGGTTATATAACTGTAACTGAATCTCAATCAAAACCTTTTTAGTATCTATACCAAGTTAAGATATGTGAATTTTTTAAGAAAATCCTTTGAATCTAGAAATCGTGAAAAATAATAATGTAGTTCATATTTGTACAGTGGCACATGAATTGGTGGCATGGACTAGATGGGTTTTTTGTATAACTCAAGCAATTATCTCTACTTTTCAGATGTTAGCACTGGAACGTCGATGAATTTGATATTCTCGGATGTGATACTCCATATATTTTTTGACATGGTCAATGTGACCTATGAGGTTTTTGAAGTTTCATCATTTTTTTTTTTCCATTTTCAATAGAGCTGTCTTCAGAGGCTTGATAAATTGAAACAAACTACGAAGTTCATTATTAGAACTAGACAAATCACATCCTTTGTGTCAATTGCAATTGATGTTGGACAAGATAACAAAAGGAAGCAAAGAATGATGGGCTGCGACTGATAAAAGGGACAAAATGAATCAAGTTTCAATAATTAGTTCACTAAAGGTGTATAATAATAACAAAACTGTTGTAGTCTTTGCACCACAGAGCTAAAAAGGGAAACAAAATAATTAATTCTAATTTGAATGACTTATATTCTCTACTTATGACTAATCACGTTGCTCCATTCTGCGATGTGGAACTGAAATCTTTTGTGGTTCCCTCACTTTCTGCTCGGTTCATATTCAATTGTTGTTGCGATCTCATTTGGTCATTGGTTAATTCTGTCGTGAGTTTTCCTTTCAGAATTTATTTTCTTCGCTTTTTTGCGTTTAATTATTTTTTAATGAAAAGTGTGTATTTCTCTCATTCAGAATAAGCTTTTTATCTTTGCAGACTCAATTCTTTTCCCTGATGTACCAATTGCACTTCGGTTGTCTAGCCATCTTCTGCTTGGAGTGGTGAGGATATATTCTCGAAAGGTGAACTACCTGTTTGATGATTGCAGTGAGGCTTTGCTGAAGGTCAAGCAAGCTTTTCGCTCTGCTGCTGTGGATTTACCTCCTGAAGAGTCGAAGGCACCATATCACTCCATCACTTTACCAGAGACATTTGATCTTGATGATTTTGAACTGCCAGATAATGACATATTCCAGGGGTTGGTTTGAAATATCTAATTCGTGTTTCCTGAGAAACCTAAGCTATCCTTATACTGTATATGAGTTTACCCCCTTTCTAGTGCATCATAAATTTGTATAGCTGCTTAATCTTCATGGTCTTTAAGATTTCTTAGCACTGCACTGATTGGATTTTTGGTCTAGTAATTGCGAACTTGTACATGTTCAGTCATACTCAAAGGTCTATTTGTTGACTTGATAAAGTTTAGGTTTAATGGTTTATTTACCATGAGTAGCAGAAACAAAAAGAACTTGACTTTGTTGCGACTGAAATAGGTCGAATGAGTAGAAGACATTTAAATACTTGTATTTGAATTGGCTTGCATGACGGTCTTAACTCCCGTGTTTTACTAGGATTCTTGGAAGACATTATGTAATATTTTAATTGTCGAGCATGGGTATTTTATTCTATCTTGTCTAACATTTACACACTGATTGCAAATTGTGCAGTAATTACGTCGATCATCATATTAGTTCAAGGGAGCAAATTACCCTTCAGGATAGCATGGATGGCATTGGTTACTCCACATCAAAGTTTGGATTGGATGGTTGGTATTCTTTGTGCTTGTTTTGACCTAGCTCCTAATGTGTCGCATTTTCAAACCAACCCCATCTGTCCCCTCTTCCCCAACCCCACAAAAAGAACAAAAGTTACATCAACCCAAATGTGAAGAGAAATATTTATTGGACGTTTAATCATCAAATTAATGCTTGTATCTACCTCTTCATTATTTTTCCTAATTGTTGCTCTGGTTGTTTGTAGAGAGGTTTGGTGATGGTGATGCTTCTGGATTGGACCTTGAGGAGGTACATATATTTACACTCTTGATGCTGTTACATTTTTCATTTTTGCTTTGAATTTTATACTGTTATAACGTTTCTCCATGTTGGAACTTAAGTAATTAGATAAGTATAGTCAGTCAAAGTTGATTATTGGTACACCACATGCAATTTTGAATTACTTTGACCCCGAAAATTAAATTTATTATTATCCATTTTTATTTGTAAGGATATTTATTATTTTACATGAAAATGTTATCTGTTGCAATTCACCCCAATAAAATATAAAAAGTGATATCACTGGTGTTCTGGTTGCCCTACATCTGGCATAAAACTCGAAAGGACACCTGATACATATATCCATTCCTTCAGAAGTTGAGAGGAGTCTTCGACCCTGCATGTTTGTTTTCTAGTTCTAATATGTATTCTTCTTGTAAATGAACTATATTAAAATGCCTTCCATGTTGTCAGATTTATGCAGATCAGTGTGGAGCAAAAACATCTTGAGCTATTTATAATTTTGATACAAATTAATAATTGACGTATCGGAATCAATGCTCACTTCCTGGACATACCATATTTTAAATATTTTATTAAATTATTCCTTTCAACTATGAAATCCCTTACCAGATTACAACATACATGGACAGTAGTAGGAGACACATTCATTGTTAAGGGATATATATCCCACATCGATAAATGATGTTGACACAGACCAATTAATAAAGATCTTGGGCTACTCCTCTTAATAAGGTTGACCTTTTAAGATGGAACCCCAAATCTTAATATTCTTTTACTGAGGAAACTGAAATGTTCTGAAAATATTTTCCATAGTTCAAATAGGTCCAAAGGTCACCAAAGTATTTGCATGGGGGCATGGAATGTTAGCTATAAAAAAATAACTGTAGAACACGCATACTCTAAAATGCTTTGTCCTAATTAGATAGAACTTAAATACACACTTCTTTTCATCTAAACTGTTGTCCTCGGTTTTGATTTTCAATTGTCCAAACATGAATTCTAAAGTGAGGTTTATATCCTGTAACTTCTGTAGTTATTTGAGAAAAGGTTGTCGTTTTCATGATAGTGATGATTCCTTAGAGTTTTAAGGGTCATCATGACAATGTATAGCTACCTGTCAATGCATGCAGATTCTAGAGTAATGATGGGAATAAAATTATAGATGGGAACTTAAGATGGAAGGTCACAAAATTCTCTCCATAAATTTTGACATTCGATCTTTTCTTATCGTGGAGTAAGAGTTAACTCATTACGTTAGGTTTGCATTCTGTGTATATGATGTGCACATTTGTCTCTGTGTTGGGTTTAACACTATGTTTCATGTACTGACATTTTCATGGATGTTGGGACATTGTTCTCTAGAGTAGTGTGATACTGTTACCCAGCCTGCTGCATAAAATAGTATTCTTATCTGCGTACAGATTTAATGTAAGCATCTGTTCTTACTTGATTCCCTTTTCATTGATCAATTGTGTCCAGGAATTATTTTTGGACAAAATTGGCACTTCAGGACAGGCTGAGGAGAGGTTGGCTTTACATAAACTTTTCACGGCACTGCTAAATGATTTTTTCTCTTCCCCTACTTATTTTGGTATTTAAATTGTACCTTGAGATTTAATTGCTGCAGCAGCTGTATTGAACTGCCATCCTATTCTTGTCACTTGATTCCTGACAGTTATTATGTGGGCCATTAATGTTTACACATTGAATCCGTCACACTTCTAAACTTTTAGGGAAGAGGAGAAAAAAGAACTTCTTTTGTATGGTCTACTTTATTGTTTTTGCTTATGTGGGAGTCTTATGTTATGTAGAAGTTTCTCGTTTCTTTCTGACTAGAGATGCTGGGTAAGCATCAAGCTATTAAATTGTCTGCCTCACTGTCAAGACACTCTCATTTAAGCTGAAATTAGGGGGATGATAAATCAACTAATTTGTGATATATTCTTTTTTAGTTTTTGTGCTCACATCTATAATTGCCCCTCATGATGTGTATCTGATCTGTATTATCTACTAAGTATACTTCGCTAGTAAATGCCACCTCTTTTAGTTACAGTTCCATGTTCGTAGAGTTTTGCTTTTTCAATGAAAGAGTATGTTTCTGTCTTGCCTATGATTTATTGTGGAGGTTTTCGGGTACTGTCATTATCTGTATTATTCTGTCCTCTTGAAGTATCTGAGTCTCATAATCTCTTGGTGGTTGATTCTGTTGACCAATCCATATAAATATCTGAACTGGATTGATCTCTTACACTATCTTTTCTCCAATTCCAGTGGTGATCCACAGGCCTCTGTCCAACCGATGACTCCTCTCAAGCTAGATGAGCATCCTCAAGAAAGGACAAATTCAGAAACCATGGTAGCTACTTGGAGCTCTAAAATTATGTTTTCAGGCTTTAATCTACATTTAATTTGATTTTGATTTACATTATATGTTCTTAAGATGTATTTTTGGCATTGGTTGTTTTGTTAGTTCGATACACAATACCATAAGTCGAAATGTCCACCAGAAACTTAGATTTCTATCTAGTGAAGATAATTTTTCCACGTGCAGGTTGATGTTGAAGATGCTGAAGTTATGGACTATGCTCACGCACCTTGTACTCCTGGATTGGTGGAAGAGCCTAACTTGTCCAATGTCCAAGAGGCTTCTGCATGTGATGACCATCTGGAGGGGGAATATCATTTAATGGAATCTACTGTGAAAGAAAATGCTAAAATTGTTACTTCTGAGGGTAAACAAGAGGCGGGTTGGTTGTCACGAGATGATGTAAATTCTAATGCCAGTTCTTGGATGCCGCCTGATGTAAATTACCATTCAGGTGGCCTGGAAAATGAAACAATAAAGCCACAGGAAGGAGAATCTCCTTGTACTAAAGCTACTTTGGAGCATGTGAATTTGGACAAACCTTCATCAATATCCGGACCATCTTCTGATTTATCTAATCAAGTAGAAGCTGTAAACCCAGCATCAGAATTAGTTGAAAAGATCACTGAGGCATCTGTTGTTCCTGCGACAAAAGATTTGCAGAATGAAGTTGTTAACAACAATAAGAGCAACTTTCCCTCAGCAAACGAGCCCAGTGATGATCCCCAAGGTCCCAGAGAAATTGTCTTGGAGGACAGTGATCAAAATACTTCTGGTTTGACTGGCACTCAACAAGTCTGCGAAGTTGTAACATTGACAGATCAAGCATTACTTGGGGTAGAAGGTCCTGTTAGTGTGGGAAGTGCAGGTGAGCTGGATAAACCATTCTGTGATGCATCAGAAGTAGGTGCTAAAATCCAAGGTTCTGAGAATCCTGAAACTCTGGCTTATCAGGAACCTAAACATTCGAACTTGTTGAACCCTGATGTTCATGAAAACATGGCAGCTACTGAAACTCAGTTTCTCAGGCCATGTAGTTCCAACCCAGAACAACCTCACATACCAAATTCTGGACATGACATATCAATGAATCAGGACTTACAATCTGATACTGCTACCTTGGGTTCATTAGAAATTTCTGGACGAGAGGAGACTATTATGCTAGGTTTGTCTGTTGAGCTAAATACTTGCTAAAATAAATGTAATTGTGCAAATTCTGAAAAGTTCTAATTAATTTCTTAAGGACATTTAGTCTTATCAAATCCTTTTTGGGCAATTAGTTCTACTTTGTGAGGGTAATTTGAACAAGTTCTAAAGTCTAAAAGGAGTGTTACTGTTTCCATCTTTTCCCACCATCTTTTAAATCCAGAATTTTTCTATTCTAAGTGTCTCTAATTCCTCATTCCATCGTCTAACTCTTATTTTGTTTAAAATGTGGAAGAAGAATTTTTTTGTGGGGTTCAGAACTTCTCGGGGAAACACTTACTAAAAGTAGTTCTGTAGGCGATTAATGGCTTTTTGATCTATGCAGTAGTCTGTGGTTGTGTATTGAATAGTTTTCATTTTATCAGGTGGAGCATGCCATATAACTGATGATTCGGAACAAATTTCAAAGGAAAACCACGTAGAAGAACTTGTTCCACGTGAAGATGCTCATGCAGCATTTAGCAAACTTCACGGTCAAGTGGGTAGCATATATTCAGAGGATAGGCCAGTGGATAATTTAAATAATTCTGTGGAAGCTGATTTACCTGCTCCCGAGAAACTACTGTCAGTAATAGCAGGCCAAGCTGATATACACACAGACATGCTAGCAGAGGCTAGTCCAAGGGACTTAGTAGGGCTCGATGAAGATGATGCTGGGAGCAAACTATACTCAGGCAGAAAACGTAGTTTTACTGAAAATGCATTGACAGAGCACGGTTTGAATTCAGTCGAATCTTCAAGGGCGGTCCGTGCCAAAAGAATTACAGAATCTGTTCCTGATGATGATGATTTGTTGTCTTCAATTTTAGGTATGTCTAACTTTCTTGTTGATCTGTGAAATGTGGACACTCTTGACACGTATCAGACGTTGTCATGCCTTGGACAAGCTGGACCATTTGCGTAACGCTCTATTCGGCGTTTCATATTATTTATGTAATTTTTAAAATTTCCAACATGCAGATGACATGGTCTCAAAATGCCCCAGATATGTACACTGAATCATCAGTCCTATAGTTTTTATAATTTTGTTATGTGATGCATTAAAGGCACGACAAACCCCCATTGATGAAGTTTGCAATACAAATTTTTTTTTTTTTTGATAACCGTGGATGTCCGAGCCAACTTGCGCGCACCTCGACTAATTCCACGGGACCCTGAAGTTTACGGCCGGGTACTCGCCTCAGTGGCCCTGAGGGGACTCGAACTGGTGACCATTGGGGAGTAAACCCAAGGCCTGACCAATTGAGCAACCCTTCAGGGTTAAGTTTGCAATACAAAATTAGGGAAAACCTAAGTTATTAAAACATTTTTGAGAAAGGTTAAGATAATGAGAAGAATTGTATGAATTTCATGTTAATTTGTTTTATATCTACTGTATGCACATGACTATTTAATTTAGTTAGCACTACAAAGACAGAACAACATAAAGTTGTTTTCATTCCAGTAGCAGCTCCTTTACAAGATCAAAATCAAACCTAAAAAATGAAAATTAGTTTTATGAAAAGAAGTATTGAAGCAAAGATATAATTTATAACTACATAGTTCTTTGAAGTGTTTTAATTGGGGTGTCCTTTGAAAAATTGTGTTCACCTGTCAGTTCATGTTGAGTCCGTATTCCATGTCTGCATCTGTACTTCATAGATTTTAACTATTTTAGACATGATTGCTCGAGGGGGTTCAGAGGTGAAAATATCCCTTACTTTTCTATGAATGCTTCTAATTTGTGGGAACTATTATTGTCTCAGTTGGAAGAAGATCTTCAGTTTTGAAAGTAAAGCCATCTCCTGTTGTTTATGAGGTAACATCTATGAAACGTGCTCGTTCCGCTCCACGCACTGGTGCTGCCAAAAGAAAAGTGCTCATGGATGATACAATGGTTTTGCATGGCGAGTATGTTTCCCCTTTTGCCAGCAACTTCCTCTACAAACTTTTTATTTTAATTAAATTTCATCAGTTTACAAGGATGCATGGAGTTTTCCTCATCTACTAAAGTACATTAATGATAATTAACTAATGGTGTGCAGCGTGTGGAATGCATCTTTCGCATATAATCACTAATTCTATTTAATTAGTGATTATATTGACTTTTCTAATTATTTCCCATCCGCCCGATTTCTTATTTCATTTAGATGTGTTTGGCACAGACATGATCTGTGCTTATTTGGCTACCATTATATCTTTGACATTATCGGCTATTAAATGCATTTGACTTGTTGCATTTTTCCCTCAGTGTTCCTCATCGTAGTTCAGAGCTTTCTTGTCCAGTGTTTTAGGTTTAGGGTGGTGAACTTATTTGCTAGCTTGTTCACGAAGTTCGTGTAACTTACGTACTCTATCTTTGTTTCCTGGAAAGTACGATACGCCAACAGCTCATGAACGCTGAGGATGTTCGTCGTGTCAGAAAGAAAGCTCCCTGTACACGGCCTGAAATTTCGATGATTCAGAAACAATATTTGGAAGATGAAATTTTTCTTGAACCAATATTTACTGGTGAGTTTAGAATTCAAATATATGTGCTCTTGAAATGTATTTTCCTTGTGAAAATTTGACTCTTGTTTATAGATGACATTTGATCAAGTGTATTAATTGCTAATTGGCACATTGTCAGAGAACAACAATTAACTCCCAAACCAGCTATGACACACCTTATTTTCTTTAGTGGCCGATTTATTATTAATAAGACCTTTTCTCATAACATGTTTTGGCCTTAAGGAAGTCTCTTTTCATGTGGCAACTTGTATCCCAATTAGATGGTGTTGAATTACCTAGTTTATTGCATTTAGATTTCCTAAACAGGTGCGGGACTAGTTCTGTGAATTCTATAATGAGTAAATACATGAAAGATCCTTGAAATTCTTTTGTCTTTTTTTTCATCAGAAGAGACCATTAATTTATTTCATTTTTTGTTTATTTATTTATTTCTGCTCTGTTTAAGGGGAATGTGTATCCTTTTCTTGATAATTCAATATCTTGCAAGATATATTTGTAACTTCATTTGACAAACTTTATTCAATGCAATCACTTTATTGAATTTGACATCCTTTCTTAGGCTTGTCAATCGAATTGGCATCTTTGCACGGTCAAGCATATGACTTGAGTAGAATCAGAATCTGCCAAAATGATATAAATGGTGCTTCATTTGATACTGTGGCTGAACCCAATTTCCATAATGGCGAAAACAATGGAATCATTGAAGCAGCAGCTGAACCGAGATTAGCTTCCCAAAATGATGAAAATGTCATGAACAGGGACATAAGAAAGGATGAAGGGTCTGATGGGCCTAACGGCACAGAGAAAATAGGGATGGGAGAAAACACTGAACTTTTGGTAGAAAGGAATAATGAAGTGGCTGGACATAATGAGATTCTGGTGGACGAAAACATGCTGGAGACATCCAATGCCGCCAGTGTAAAAGTTAATATCTGTCAAGAGCCGATGTGTCCTACTAATGATGGTGTGGAGCCTGATGTTTCACAGCAGGATCTTTTGAAGGATGTAATTGAACTAGAGACAAGTGATAAATATGCTGATGCAGTAAATCCTGCTGTTAATGAGGGAGTCATGTCATCATCCATTATTGATCACACTTCAGGTGATACGGATGATGCTCCTACTGGTATGGTTCAGACAGCTTCTTTGAATGAGACCAGTGAGACAAACTCTTCTGTGAATGTGGATGCAGCAGTCAATTTACCTGATCAGAAGATAGATGCACCCTTTCTTGAGCTGGATATTTCAGTGGTGGATGTGAGCAATGATAAGGCAATTGGTAAAGATGAAGTTACAGATAAGGACGGTGATATTATTTTAGAAGACAAAACTGAACCTAGCACATTGTTTACTGTTCTATCAGAGGTTTCTGGACATGGTGCAGCAGTTGAACAGCTACCGGATTCCAATCATGGAGAATTAGAGTGTAATGTCCAGAGTGAAACCGATAATGGTCCTTTTGGCGAACAGAAGATGGAAGATGTTCTGTGTGGCGAACAACCAATAGGCTCATATCCAGCACAAAGCAGTGTGCATTTGGAAGGTGGTTTCTTGAAGGATGGTGAAAATCCAATTCAGAAGGAAGACTATCATCCCAATATGACAGATGCAGAAATCTCTGGTTTGGACTTGCATGACCGTGATGTAAGTTATCTTGTTTGCCTCTGATGATCTTCTCTGGTTCCGGTCTAGCATTACTTAGATTTTGCTGCTTTCAAATTTCTGCCATAATGTTTTTTCTTCTTTCTTTTCACGAGTGCCTTATGTTTTGTTTGTTAGGGGTAAAATCCCACGGGGCTTGGGCTACACCTTTTAACATGGTTGACCTTTTAAAATAGAACCCCTAGTCTACATATGGTATCAGATCCCTTTATGCTCAAAAGAGCCATTCAATCCGTCCGAAGCTCAATCGAGCCATCAGATTTCAAGATTAGTGTACTCAAATGAGTAACCATCTTGCAGGGACATATAAAGAGTAAAATCCCACACTGGTTAGGTAGAATAGCTGACCAACATATAAGGGTTTGGACTACTTCTCTTGACCTTGTAAGATGGAACCCCCCAAGTCTCAATATCCTTAATGCTGTTCTGGATGTTCCAATGTTCCGATAATGAGGTGCAAAAGTTATACTAGTGTTTACCTTTTGTAGTCAAATGAAATTTGATATATGCAAGTTTTTAAACTTGATAAATGAAGTAAGTAGGCATCATAATTATGAATATTTACTGGGTCTACAAAGGATGGGGCTGAAGAACTTTACGTAAAGAAATGGGTCATAAACTTTTGAAAACTGTACTTTCAGCACTCTAAATAGATAGTTGAAATTCCACGCATCAGTAATTCCAAATGATTTAGACAAATACGTAAAATTGGATAGATTTACTGGGTCTTTGGAAGATAGGTTCTAGGGCTTCAAATAGATAAATGGGTTGTAGAAAACTAAATTAAAAATTTTTAATGATGTTCTACGCTTTTATTCGAAACTCTATGCATCAATGATTCCAAATAGTCGATTTTGGGAGAGAAAAATTCTAATTATTATTGATATTTTACTAAACTATATACAAAGGTTAAAAAGGGGAAAATTACAACTTAGTCCCTAACAATTACAAATATTACAAGTTGGTATATCTACATATATATTTCAACTCTCCCCCTCAAGTTGGTGCATAGATATCACGCATATCCAACTTAGATAGCATTGTATAGAATGAACCACTAGCAACTCCACGTGTCATTATATCAGTCAGTTGTTCCGCCCTCTTGATGTATGGAACTTCTATATTTTTGGAGTTGATGTTATATTTGATGTAGTCCCTATCAAGTTCAACATGTTTTGTTCTATAATGTTGCACGGGGTTGTTTGCAATTTTAATGACAACAGTGTTGTCACAAAAGAGTAACATAGGCTTGTCCGGACCAAAGCCAAGTTCATTAAAGAGAAGTTTTAGCCATGTAAGCTCGGTAGTTGCATGATGCAATGCACGATATTCCGCCTCAGCACTTGATAATGAGACCACATTCTGTTTCT